AGCAATACCTGCAAAGTTGTGCCGGTATCCAGCGCCGAAATTAATCCAGAAAACAATCAGAATTTACCATTAAGAAAAGAAGCTGCAACTCACTATGAAAGAAATTACATACTTTTAAGAGTCCTTTCTTTGCAATTTCAGCAAGAACACTATCGTGCAACCATCGTACATCAGTTAAGCTCAAACACGTTAATAATTTGAGATCTGCAAGGGCAGAGAGACCGCTGCCAGGAAAGCCTTCAGTCCTTTCGCGAAGATCCAGATATTTTAGGTTAGTGAAATGAGTTCCGAGTGAGTGCATTGGCTATAATTTAACCGCAAAAATCATTCAAATAACAATAGTTACACCAAGGTAAAAGGAACCCAAAAAACAAGCCGACGCTCCATAAATTACCTCAGTAAAAAGCGGCGCGTTAGATATTGTCAATTCAGTTATGCCTTCCAGGAGACTGCTTCGCACTTTACCGATGCGAAACTGGGGGTCTGCTAAGCAGTCGATAGCTAGTCTTTTCAAGCTACAAGTATAGCAGTGACATGTAGAAGAAAACCGTAACATTAATGAAGTAATAAACAAATACTGAAATTGCACTTACTCCCTCATAGTGCGAAAAAATTCTTCCAACAGTTCAACTGAATCCACCATAAAATTGTTGACGACAAAAGTTGATAGACGAGGACACCTAAGAAACTTTTAAAAATAACCGCAAAAAAATGAATTCATCTATTACATATAGTTCCAAAAAAACTAATTTAGTTACGTGTTTTGAACCTCTTCTTTATTTAATTATAAGAGAAGAAGAAACGAAAACAAGAAATACAAAGAAAAAAAAGGTAAAAGGGTAACCTTGAAATAATATATTCCAATGGTTTCTCGGTCAATTGAACGAAATCAATGTTCAAGTATTGAAGAAGTGGCGGAAGAGCTTGAAATGATCTGTTCCCCTCTAGAAACCAATTGCTGCCAAGATCCATCCGTTTCAATAAATGACAGTTTTCAAAAAACAAACGTAGAGAATCCTCGAAACCAGGTCTCTGTGAAAAAGGCTTAAAAGAAAACTGAATATTTTTGAAAAAAAGCACATAATAATCGAAACTGAGGTCATGACGACCAACGCTCTCCTGCAGCCGAACGGAAGGTGGCTTAAAATGTGCCGCTAAACAAGTCTATTTATAAAAAAAGCAGCATATTACAAGCAGATTTTTAAAGCTGACTCTTACGTAAAAAAATTACCATCAAGGAAGCATTTAAATTCACGTCCTCAAGCTCAGGACAATTGACTGAAAGCTGCACCAGCGCATCACTGGATATCTGAATACCACTCAGATTCAACACCCGTAAACGAGGACAAAGAACAGTGTGATGTACGGACCATAATTTCCCTCTGAATCCCCATCTTAGCTCGTGCATGTCAAGAACTCGCAGAGAGCTTCCAAAATATTGTAGCAGAATTTGCAACTGCAATTTTTTTAAAACTCAACAGTGCTTTAGAAAAGTTAATTTGATATGAAAATTGCTAACCCAAGTCTAAAACTTCAGCGTTTCGCCTACCAGAGTCACAAAAAATAATACAAAAATTGTCTAGTAAATCCCGAAACCTTATGAAATGACAATTAGAAAGCAAAAATAAAGTTACAAAAAAAAAAGTGTAAACATTTCTGCATTTAGAAAATGCAGATGCCAATCCGTGACACGTACTCTATCTTCAGTTATTTTTGTTACAGGAGCAGAATCCGTAGTGCCTTGCAAACTTGAATATGAAAAAACTCGAACAGATTTTAATCCGATATTCTGTACAAACCAACGCCAGCGCTGACATACCGCTTGAGTCCTCAATAAGTCAAAGATAGGTAAAAATTCGAATATCAGACCCTAAAAAAAAATAAAAAAAAATATTTTACAACATCGAGAAATGAGACCCCAAAGCAGTTGTGTAACTCGTCACTTACGAACACAGCTCAAAAAAAGTTAATTTTTATGAGAGAAGACCCTTTTTAAAAAGAAAAAAATCAAATGAATCCACAAAAAAACTCTTTAGCTGGCTGAAAGAGAAACTAATAAATAAAAGGAAGAATAAGTTCAAAGCCCCACCAATAATTCTACTGGAAGGTCGAAGAGATTCAAAGAACTACCAAGGCTTTCCTCACAACAATCCCGCGCACCTGCGCAAGTCTTTTCAGTAACCTGGAAAGTCGAATCCATCCTTCACTTCACTTACGAATACTTCCAACAAAATAACAACAATAACAATGAAACTTCACCGCTGAAAGGTACTGCAGAAACATACTTAAAACTATGTCTAAATTAGGTGTAAAAAAAAAAAGAAGCAAACCCTTGGTTTTTTTGAGGGAACGACAAATAAGTCCTCATAGGAATGTTTTCTCGCCATCCGCCGGCTGTTCCATCGTTTGGGTTCCTTGATCACCAACTGCACACCGACAATACCCCACATATAGTGTCACAATTGTTGCCGTATGTCCCGCACAAAATTCACTTTTGTCGTTCCACGCTATAACATTAAGCTTTTGAATAGGTTCTTCCCCAGACGGACTCCTCCTCGGCATCTAGCGCTACCTCTGCTTAACTAGACTCATCAACGTCAATGTTTCCACTCAGAACTCTAGTTTAGTAGGTGTCCAGGTGGTTTCGATTAGTTCGCTGAACAAAGCAGCGACAGCAGCAGCAGCGGCAGTAAAAGCAGTAGCGAAAGTGTTTTCAAATCTTTACGATATATTTGTTAAATGCAGCGGAAAAACATAGCTGCAGTTCTGGGGAAGGGATGCTTACAGTGTTTGTGTTCTTAACTGAGAAATATACTTCACGGTACCAGAAATACTACTTCTTGAACAAGTTGACCTTTACTTAGTAAACTTCAACTTTGCTGTCAACTTTGGGAAACAGAATGCCACCAATGAATACAATATTCTTTGACGTTTACACAGCTTTCCTTGGTTTTACCGTAAACAGTGCTACATTTCAGTCATCTGGAGAAGGCTCACTCCAAAATAAAAAAACAAAAAAAAAAAAAAAAAAAAAAAAAAA